CCGTTCGGATCATTATTTAGTTGGGATCAAGACCCTCATGCTGTATCAACGCCTCAAACAGTACACACAGCAAATCAACCTCAACCAACAGGTTCGGGCGGAACACCAAGCACCCGACCACCAGCACAAGAAGGTACAAGAGCACCATGGGCTACCCCTTCACAATCTCAAGGTATGCCGTCTACAGCTGCACCATGGGCAAATTCAGGAGCGCCTACTGGTATGCCTTCAACGAGAAGAATGATACCTCCGACATCTACAACAGCGTTCACAAGATCAACACCTCCGGCGGGTTCACTACCTCCGACGACAAGAACATCTTTTCCAAATAATTATGTACCTTCATCATCATCAAGCATACCAGATTCACATCCAGATGGTGGACCAACACGTGCACCACGGGCTAGATAAACAAGGAGAAGACGTTTTTGACGATCCAAAGAAGCCAAAAAAGGGGGTTACAATAAGTACCAATACGAACGAATGCCTAGTACAATACCCTTTTGGGAGTTTCGACTCGGTATCAGGTAGTCAGCTATACATAGAACTATGCAATAAAGGTTAACTTATTTATCAATGATTTGCTTCGAGAACGATTCATTCATTTTCCTCGAATCCATTTCATTCATTGCTTTAGGTGGGGATACATGTCAAACTATAAAATGGGGTTTGTGCATCATCCCGTGTGGTGGTGTCACGGTTCAATGCCAGTCAGTGTGACAGACGGATAGATGAATAGATAGCCTCGGCAGCTTATTTAGTGTCCGATGTACGAAGAACTAGGCTCGCTAGGCTGGGTATAATTTAATTATAGTAGTTATTGGTTTGATTTGATTTGATTTGATTTGATTTGATTGAACCCTGGGTGAGTTTGGGTTTGGGTTTGGGGATTAGGATAAGACATTGTGAAGGTGTAAATTTCGGGGATGGATGGGATGGGATGGGATGGGATGGATTTATTATTGTAAGGAAATTATTGGTTACTTGGTTGGTGGGAAAAGGAGATGAGAGAGGACGAAGGGATGGTTTTTGGGTTTGGGGTTTGAGGGTTGGATTTGGATCTGGATTGGGGTTGGGTTTGGGTTGAGATATATATAACTTATATGGATTTGGGTTTGGGTTTGGGTTTGGGTGGTGATTATTGAATGAATGAATTACTGACGTCGTGATGTTTATACACTACCTACAGTATAGAGTACTAGATAATTTCTATCTATCTATCTAGTAAGTCGGGTACCTAGGTAGGTATAAATTATCTAGTACCCTACATCTACTTGGAGTAGTTTCTCTCTATCTCTCGCGCAAACTAGCTGAACTATCTCACTCATATCTTTTCTTTCGCAAGAACCTCTCTTTCTTCTTTTCTTCTGATGAACACATACTGTATTCGAGTACCGGTATGTGTATATATATATATAATATACCCTGACTCCTAGGTAAGATAGGGTAGGTAGTTACAGGTGCAATACAAGTGGACAATGGACAAGATTACATAGTACGAAGTAGGTACATCATATATGGACGACGATCATATCTACATACCTGTATATATAAATACATCCTTGATCTCGAATTTGCGAATTTTCGAATCGGTCCCCGGGATACATATCGATATTGGAAGTGAGATTGGGAGTGGGATTTCGATGTGTGTGCATGTTTGATGTGGTGATATGATAATCTCCGATGTGATTCATTTCTGGAAGACTGCCCAGGTGGGTGTGAGAGATGGATGGGTAGAGTATGCAGCCCTTTTCGATGATGTGGAAGGGAGGGTCTCTTTGTTGAGATTTGCTTCTAATATCCTTCTATGGATTTGGGATGGGAAATCAGGAGGGAGATGGGCTTTGGAGATGTTGAAATTGAGGTATCTGGGTATTGGTAATTTGGTGTAGGTACATCGTAGATAGTATTGGGATTCGGATTTGATATGGATTATAGACTGGCAGATAGGTAGTAGGTGGGTATGAAACATTAATAATCATTTTATATAACCTTAAGCGTGGTTCGTCGGGGTCTTCATCTTAATGTTGGTGATTGATTTTTGGGAGGGTTGGAGGTTGGAGGTTGGAGATTGGAGATTGGAGATTGGAGATTGGAGATTGGGGCTTGGGGCTTGGGACTTGGAAGAGATTAGTAGGTAGGTAGGTAGGTAGGTAGTAATCATTGAGTTTTGGGTGAGTTATGGTTTATGAATTGGTTGAATGATTTGATATTGGATGGTGGTGGTATGATTGTTGGTTGAATGTAACGATTTGATATGGATGATGGATGTGAATGACATTTTTAGCTAGGTATAAGGTATTCAAGGGTATAGATTCTAGATTGGTCTTAAAGCTGAATAATATACCTACTTTGATAAAATTATAAGAGATATAACGTGATTTATCAGTGTGCGGGTCATATCAGTGTGCGGGTCATTTTCACCTCAATTCACTCTTTCAAACTCATATTATTCAACAACCATTGAATCAATTGATTAAAACTATGAAAATTATAATAATCTAGGATCTATTATATTATCTTGACAAGTTCTTGCATTATGTCCGGTCTTTCCGCATTTACTACAGCATCGACTAGAAGATGCTTCTTCATTAGAATTCCTCCCTTTTTGACGCTCGTCGCGTTGAATCTGAATATCAACCTCTTGCTGAGATAATATATCAAGAGCTTCTTGCCCAGTAAGTACTCCTCCTTGACGTAATTGGGTTTTTTTCGCGCGTCGACGCTTGCTTAATGCCTCATTTGCCTTTCGAAGTGTACGAATCTCTGCATTCAAAAGTGTATTCTCATGAGCTAATCTCTCTGTACCTTTAGCTAGAGCTAGTACAGTCTCAAATATAGGTGTAGGGGAGCTTGATTGATGTCGGGTTATTCGAGATTTCACTAAAATTGATTGAGAAAGAGCTTCAGTTGGGTTGTGAGGGGTTTGAGAGATCCATTGATCTAGATCGAAAGAGGGAGGGGGTAGGTGTACGAATTCGAATATCTAACTTCGAAAGTACGGCTTCAGGGTTAAATGGTATTAAACCTGTTCCTCGAAATCCTGATTTCATATTCTGAGAGATGATTGATTCTTTATATGCAGCTTTAAAAGCTATAAAGAATTCAACCTTCGAAATATGATTCATATGTGCCTTGATAAATCCATCAATTTGACCACCATATGAACGTTTCAGATTGCTAAAACAGCCCACATCAAGTGGTTGAGTTAAATGACTCGAATGCGGTGGTAGACTTAAGCATATAATATCGTTCTCTTTGCAATATGCTTGAAAAGCTCTTGATTCATGGCTTTCATGCCCGTCTAGTACCAACATTCGATACCTGCCCTTTCTTCGGTTCTTAGTGTGCTTGTCGAAGTGTTTCAACCATTCTAAACCTGTCTCATTGTTTGTCTATCCATTAGATATAGGTTTAATAGCCTAATCCGCAGGAAAATCGGTTTCGGTATACCAATTGGAAAGATGAACCTGTCCTTGAACCACTAGAAATGGGGGTATAGTTTCACCCTCCCCATTGCCACATATGATTGCTGTAGCCCATTCTCTATTGCCTGGTTGTATTGCCTTGCTTCTGCCATTCCGTTCAGCACTAGTTACTACCATTCCGGGGCATATTATACCCATCATAAAGCCCGTCTCATCGAAATTGTAGAAATCGCCATCCAAAATGCTGTATTTCGCTCGCATATTCGCAACCAATCGAAACCACTCTTTAATAAGCTTAGGATCTTCGCAGAGAGCTCTTTGAAAGTCATAAACACGACTAAAACGCGTCTTTAATTCGATTCGACGCTTTACGAATCGATGCGCCCAGAGCTTCCCAACGCGCTTTGCACCCCTCGATTCAAGAATATGATTCGCTATATCTTCTACATTTCTTAATTTAGGTGGAAATCCTCTCAAATCCATATCAATTATATATTCAGAAATGATATTCTGTTCTAGTTCTGAAAGATTATAAGATTTAGGTCGATATTCGGAACGGGAAGTAATACCATTAATTCTACGCTGTAGTGTTGTATTCGAGATATTATATATCTTTGCAACCTTTCGAATACTTGTTTTTTTGTCTTTTTGAATAGCTTCGATAGCGAGGAGTATACGGGCTTCTTGATTATTCGAATCCATTGTGGATTGTTGATAAAAACGCGTATTGAAAGAGAATAGAGTGAATTGAGGTGAAAATGACCCGCACACTGATATGACCCGCACACTGATAAATCACGTTATATACGAGTGTGAATTCTTTAGGTTAAGAGGTATAATCGATATATATATATATATAAACCAATAGGAATGTTAGATATTGAAGATTCACGTGATTCGAATGTCAAATAGAATAATGAACGTGATAAGAATACTATCTACCTAGTAACCTTAGGTATATATATTTCTTTGTTTCTTCTCTCTCTCTCTCTCTCTCTCTCTCTTTTCTTCTTTCTTCTCTTTCTCTCTACTTACGCTAGATGCGAACAACATCTTTGAATGGATGAATAGATGAATGAATGAATGACTGAATGACTGGACAAATGCGGCATGTGCACATGTATGTGTGTGTATGTAGTGCATGTGTCATTTATTAGAGTTATACCCAAATGAGGGATAAGGTTTAAGAATTCTTGGTCTGATCTTATCTTCAAATGAACCTCCAAAATGACCTCCAAGCTTTCCTTCCTATTGTATCTCTCTCCTGTGTATCTCTCAACAACAAAAACCGTCAAACCTCCTTTCCAATCATCAATTTTGATTCATTTTCATTCTTCTCTCCCTTTTTCATACATAATCTTTTCATCATCACTCAAATCACACATACACATTCACATTCACATTCACAAAATCAATCACTTGACTTGACTTTACTTTTCTTTCCTTTTCTTGACTTCACTTTACTTCAGGAGTTAGTTATCACGAGAGTAATAATCTCATCTCATTCCATCTCTCTCCCAAATTAAAACATCCAAACTCAATCAACTTCTTCTGATTCCCTCCCCTCCCCCCCCTCCCCTTCCCCAAAATCCATCAAAAAGTTCCAGAACACACATCCATCCACCCAAGTTATCAAATCTCTTCATAATTCTTTAAAATTGGATCTTCGCAAAAGGTCTCATTCTTCTTTCCGACAAACTCGTCGAACAGACCAAAATAATTTAAAATCACTCCATCCATACCAGGGGCTTTAATCCACTCCAAAAGAAAATCTATCAAAATGCCCGGCGTTCGTAAGTAAAATCATTTCCATATTCATCTTCTGCTTCGATTGTTTCTTCTTCCATTTCATTCATCTATTCTCTCCTTCATTCATTCTCTCCCTCTCCCTCTCCCTCTCTCTCTCTCTCTCTCTCTCTTGCTATTAAGACGACTTTATTGTTTGCTGGAATTTGCTTCATTTCTTTCTTCACTCTCATTTTCTATCTTTTCATCACACTCTTTCATCACCTGTTGTATTGTATTCAAATCAGCGAGTTCACTACCGTCGTTGTATTTATTTCTATTTACCTTGATTTACTTTAATCCTATCCATCACCTTAATCAACCACTTCTTTCAAAATGGGTATTTACTTCTCGCCATATCTCTTGTTTCCTATTTGCATCTCTATCTATCTGTTGATCTGTTTCTGCAATCTGATCATTTCCGTATCATAACTAACCACCCTTCCTACAATAGCACCAAAGGCATTCGAGACCATCAAGGCCAAGTTCAAGGCTCTCCTCAAGGGAAAGAAATCCAAGAAGGCTGAAGCTGAACCAACTGCCGATGCAACAAAGACCGATGCAGCTGCTCCAGCTACTGCAACCACTGTTACTGAGCCAGCTGCTGAAGGAACCGCACGTATGTTTACAACTCTCAGTCTCATCCTTTCTCACATGTACTAACATATCCCTTGCAGCAGAAGTAAATGCTACTGAACCAGCAACTGGTGAAACTCCAGCCCCAACTACCGCAGAAGCAGCTCCAGTTGTAGCCGAACTAGCCAAGACGACTGAAACTGGTGAGCCTCCATACATAATCGGAACCTTGGTGAAAGCTCATAGTACTGATACTTCAATAGCAGCACCCGAAGCTCCCAAGGTCGAAGAAATCAAGAATGAGCCTAGCGCACCAATCGTCGCTGCTACAGCTCCTCAACTTTAAATGATATCATCTTTCGATATTATCGACACGCCAGCATTATATATATATATATATATGATATATCATGCAAGCAAGATGAAACGCATTTAACCTACCTTTACCTTTGAATTACACGTATATTTGATTTCGAACTCGATACGGATGTGGGAGATACCCAAATACAATCTCTTTGATACCATGGTGAAGATGGTGTAAAGATCCATGTTGTAATGGCAGGAGATAAGACTGATGGTGAAGCTTTAGGTGATGGATAAATACAGACACCTCTTGATCATGTCTATCAAAGCATGGTTGAATTTCCGAAACAGAAGTCGTCAGAACAGGATAATAATGTGTTATCATGTTTCCTTTGTGTTTTTTCTTTACTCTTTTATGTCTATTCAAAGGTTTTCCTCGATGGTCTTTTTAGTTTTTTCAAAGTTGATTGAGTTGAAATTGATGAGATGTTTTTATCGACGAAAGCAGATATACATCTACTTGATTCATACAAGATTGATTAAGGAGAATGAGGAATGGATTAGATGTGGATTTCTCGATTTCTTTTTTTACTTTGTTTTATTGAATTATAGTATCTAATTGTACATGGACGGGCGCGTAAGCGGAACGAATGGTCATATACCCCCTGATACCCTAGGTACCTAGTTCTCGTTGTGGAGAGGAGAGAGAGGAGATGTGGGTTTGTCTATAGGAATGAGTTTATAAGAATCTTGATCTTGAAATGAAGAATGTCTCATTTTTGTGTGAATCGAAATAAGTGAGTGTGTTGAATTGGATATACGTGAAGCTGGTATGGAGAGGCTTATGAGGTTTGTATTTGATGGGATATGGTGAGTGAGTGATTAGTGGTAGCTGGATTGAGAGCGAGTTGGATATTGTATGTGAGTGAGAGCCATGAGGGATGTATGTGAGGGAAGGGTAAGAATAAGTGAGGTTTAAGGAGAAATAAGATGAAGTTAAAGAGGCTGAAATGCAAGGGGTCTGGAGATGGGGATCGGGCAATGTGTGTAAGATGGCACTTGGATTGATTATTGAGGAGGAGGATAGAGAGTATAGGAGAGCTATGTATTTGTTTGGTATGTGAGATTTGTATAGGCTGTGGGCTGTAGGATGTGAGAGGGTAGGTGGATAGATGATAAATGGAAATGGGAGATGGGAGATGGGAGAATGGGAGATGGTAGATATTTGAAATAGGATGGGTTAGGGAGGGGAATGGAGGGAAGGTAAAGAATGGGAGATAAGATTTATGGATTTATGGATTTATGGCTTATGGATTGGCGATAGACGAGGGAGGGTTGGTCAAC